TTTTTGGTAGTACTGGGGTTTCATCTCAGGACTCAGGCTTGCTATGGCAGGAGCTCCTACCACTTGGGCCACACCTCCAGCCCCACTTTGAGCACTTTTGCCTACTCAATAGCACCACCATGGATGAAACCCACTAGAGAGAAAACTCAGTCCACTGTGTTTGGTTCTTACTAGCATCATTAACCAATGGTTTGCTGAGAAACAATCGGCAGTCCCCATCTACTAGTCAACATCAGGACTGGTGAAATTTTGTGGATTTGATTTCTTTCCAATCCTCTTTTCAGAAGAAAACCAATCAAAAACTAGTTGTATTCAATAACACTAGGTTATAGTCCCAGCTACTCAGGAGGCTGGGGTGGGAGGACTATTTGAGCCTAGGAGTTCAAAACCAGTCTGTGCAATATAGCAAGACTCCATTTCAAAAACAACAGTCCTATAATCCCAACCACTTGGAAGATGGAGATTGGGAGGATCACAGTTTGAGGCCACCCCTCACAGAAAATTAGCAAGACCCCATCTCAATAAGGTGGTTGTGGCATCTGTGATCCCAGTTATGTGGAAGGCCTTTGATAGGAGGATCACAGTTTGAGGCTGCTGAGGCAAAAATGGGAGACTCTACATTAAAAATAACTAAAGCAAAAAAGGGATGGGGGTGTGGCTCAAGTGGTAGGGCACCTGCCTACCAAGTGTGACGCCCTGAGCTCAAACCCCAATACCACCAAAAAAAGGGGGGGAGGGGAGGAAGGAAGGAAGAAAAAAAAAAAAACTGGTGTATTCAGATTAAACTCCCAGAAAAAAAGATAACTAGATCTGTCTATACATACCATCAGCCATTCAGTACAAACTTAAGAATTTAGGTTATCTTCTAAGATTGGATTTGGGTAGGGAGTCTCAGAATAAAAAGAGGAACTGTTAAAAACAGATGGGCTCTCCTGCAAATACAGCCTCCCCTGCCCTACTTTCCTCCTATCTTCCTACCACAGTTAATCCCATCTTGCAGGGTCTCAAAAATGTTATTAAAATAAGCAAACTTTAGAAAAATGGGAAGAAATACACCTTAGTATTTCAACGCTTCCATTCCTGAAGGGACTCCTGTGAAAATTTCATAAGATCCTCTTCTCTTCATTTTCCTATACTGAATTTTGAGGTTTCATAGACTTTCTTGAACTTTTAAAAACAAAAATCCTTCCTCTAGCCCTGAGTCTTGTTCTCAATAACCCCATCTCCTCCTTCATAGAGGGACATCATCCCAAACATCTGAAATGTAAAAAGCAATAAAATGAAAACTCCAACTGAACCTGACACTTTACCTTTGTCAAATTGTTAGTTCTGCCATCTTTCAATACTGCACAAAGGATTTTTCTTTCTTTTTAAGAGACAGGGTCTCACTATGTAACCCAGGCTGGTCTCAAACTGACAATCCTCCAGGCACACACCACCACGCCCAGCTTCTCTTTCTTTTTTAACTGAGCCTAAATGCTTACAGATAAATCAATGCATATGTGAAGGATAAGTGCAAAAGCCCTTAGTGAACACACACACACACACACACACACACACACCCTCACCACCCTTTTCTATCCCAAGATGTCCAAGACACTGCCAACTGCTATAGCTGTAGACTGGATCAGAAAACAAGAACAGAAATAAGGCCACTGTCCAGTCTTTTTTGCCTGGGGCACTTCCTGGATTTTTCTTTCCATTTAATACCATGATACAAGACTCATTTTTCATTAAAGATGCAAGACTTTCACTTTGCCCAGTTTCAAATGGTGTAATTGATATCCATTGTCTTCTTAAATAACCCAACTCGGTGAAGGACACTGCAGCTTTAAATATTTCAGTGCTAGCTAGCAAATAAGACTCCATTGCAATATGGCTCTGAAGGTCGTGTCCTATTGTCTCTTTCCTCTCCAAAAACCAGTTTCAAAAGCCTTCTTTTAGGTAACATGGGACTGGCTGCCCCCAGAATTTCCACTCTTTCACTTCAGTCCCTTAACGATTCCGGGTGTTTATTGGAATCTCACACTCATCATTTTCCCAGCAGGGGCAATATGCTGATTGTTATTAATGATTCCAGAACCTTAGTGAGACATCAACACATGTGTTCACATTAGTTTAATTGAGCATATGCAACTATTTGAAATGGAACCACTCAAGGCTGTTAACCTCTTTAAGAGTAAAGCCTGGGTGGTTTGGGTGTGGATGGCTATCAGGCGGCACCCCTGAGCCTAGGATTGCATAACCTGAAATGTGTAGCTACTTAAAACGATAGGAATCTCAGCCTACTCATCCTGGGACTAGGCCGGCACCTTGCCATACACTTGCAGCTTTATTGTCAAAGAAGGTCAAAATGAGAAGCACAAACACAGTGAAAGAAAATAAATGAAGACCCTTTTCTACCTTGACAGGGGACATAAATACAATTCCCCAAGCAGTCACAATGTTCCCCCAAACTCATCCTTTCTCGTCCTCCTACCACCCGGAGTGGAACAGCCCCAGAGCACTGGTAGCTTGGGGGTTGGGGGTTGGGGGTTGGGGGTGGGGGTGGGGGTGGGGTGGCTGGACATTGCTGCCCTTTTGAAATAAAAACGGGTGGAAGGATTAAAGAGCAAGAAGGACCAGAAGCGGGGTGGCAGGATGGCGTGCGCAGGTGCACCCAGGCATTACCTGAAATGGCAACAGATTGTTACCATTATCGGTCCGGAAAGCGTTATCCTCCATCCAGGACTTGGAGGTGAGCGGGGCCGCACGAGGGAACTTGGGCGGCGCGATCACATTGCTGGAGAAGGGCTTTTTGAGTGGCGAGATGGGGTTAAGCGGGGAGGGTACCCCCACGCCCACACCCACGCCCACACCCACCGCCCGGCGAGGGTCCCGGCCCGCCTGCAGGCCGCCCCACGGGTTGGACGGTGCACTCCAGGCGGCGTTCACGCTCTGGTGCGTGTTCCAGCTGGACGAGGCCGATGAGGCGGCGGCGGCCGCAGCCGCAGCCGCGACAGCCGAGGACGAGGACGGCTTGCTGGTCATGATGGGCTGGTGGCCGTAGGCGGCCGCGCTCCTCTGCGCGTAGGGCGCCTGGCTAGGGCTAGCGGGCGAGCGGCGCTGCTGCGGGGGCTGCGCCTGCGGGGGCTGCGCCGGCTGCGCTGGCTGCGGCGCGGGCGGCGGCTGCTGGTGGTGCTGGGTCTGCGCCAGGCCAATCTGCGGGGAGAAGGTGCCTCCAAAGACTGGGTTGACGTGGTGGGGGAAGTTCTGGAAGAGCATGGTCCCGTTGACTGGGGTGATCCCCTGGAAGAAGCTGTCCTCCACCGCGTTCGTCGTGCCCGTGGACCAGGTGCTGCCGAAGGACGGCGACAGCGACGCGCCCGGAGCCGTGGGCTCCTGCGGCGGCGGCGGCTGCTGAGGGGGCTGATGGAAACTCAAGCCGGGCAGGAGCGGCGATTCCATCTGCATCTTGTCCGTGCCGTTGGGAGCCGGCGGCGCCGCTGCAGGGCTGAGGGCCGGCACTGCGCTGCTGTCCTCGGGCTTGGGGGTCTCTGAGGAGAGGGGCGTGGACGGGGCTTCGGCTGCGCTGGGCTCGGGCTGGGGCTGCTGCTGCTGCCGCTGCTGTTGCTGAGGCTGGGGCTGGGTTTTGCTTTTGTCCATCAGTAAATCATCCTGCATGGTTTGCGCAGCTGAAACGGGAAAAGAGAGAGATGCGTTATTGTCAATGTGATCATTAATGCCCCTCACAGAGCGGGCGGGTGTTTTACTTGCGAAAATCCAGTGCCACCGCCACTAGCCAATTGCGAGGCAAATCCATAATCTCCCATTTAGAAGAACAGGTCGGGCGGGGGGAGGGGGGCTCAAGCCAGAGCTCTAAAAACACTGTGAGAGCGTCTTCACCCTTTCGGATGTCTTGGTTCCTTTTCTGTATTAGTAAGAGATGTGCTTATAAGACAGAAAGACAGCAATTTCGCCACGTCTCTTTTTCCCTTCACCGGAACTCAGCGCGTTTACCCTGCAATGAGAAACTGATTCTGGTTCCTGTTTTTTCCCAAGCACCACCCTCCCCCAGTTATTTGCATACGTCAATAAATACTGCTGCGTCCTTCAGCAAGGTTAAAAAGACACTGCTCACGACCCTTTCTCCCCCTTCCCCGGGATCGAGCACTTAAAAAACAAACAAAAAAAAAGCAGCCTACTTATCCCTCTTGATTAGCAAACTGCCTTCTTGCCTTGGATAATTGTTTCATTTGGCTGCAGCGAACCACGAGGGAGAAAGTCTTTGGCATTTGTTAGAAGGACTCAGCTGCACAATCATTCTCTGGACTCTCAGTAGCTGCAGCTACTCCATTTTGTTAGGAGACATTTTAATTCTAAGACAGGTTTTTTAAAAGGTGAACACCTACTAACACGTTTGGAAGTACTTGCTTCTTGTTACTCTGAGGATTATGGTTTTCTGCTTATTCTCCAATTTTCTTGTCTCCAATACTGCCGCACAAGAGATTTCTTGGCTTCTCAGTGATTCAGGTCTCAACAGGAGCCTGAATATTTCTGTGCAGAGTGGAGAAATGATTCTGGTTGGATTCGAGGTGAGAGGGAGGGGGAGGGGGGAAAGCGGGAGGGGGGAGCTGTGAGCTGGAGCGGGGGCGGGGCTTTAAAAATGTATCTGAGATTTAAGTAGATAGAAGATAATTCTGGGGTTGCCAGATTTTCATTTCTGAATCCTCCTGCTGTTGCCTTGGTCACAAGACTTTGGCAAATTTAGAATCCATTCTTTTATTACTAGCATTAGCAGTGAAAGACTATGGTTTGACGACCCTGAATTACCATATGCTAGCAAAAGTGTTAAAAATAGAGGAGTACAAAGTTCCAAATTCTCATACATTGTAATTATAGTGCATTGCCATCACTGCTTCATTTAGCCATATAAGGAGTGTATGGTATTTTCCATTTCGCATAGAAAGGCTATATTCACCTCTGTCATATAGCCTGTTTTCCTATTCAAGGATGAAAATAGAATCACTCAAAGCCAGATTTTTATACATGTATTTATCACTGAGCTTGTCCCTTAGAACATGTTAATTGCTTTAAATACAAGAATATTATAGGGCTGAGACCCTGAAAATAAATATTTTGAAACGTTAAAGGAGCAGATGACCAAACATACAATTATTTTTAGATGATGATTCAGTACAATTGCAACAAAGTTATTAATATATTTAATACAGGTAATTAACTCATATCCTGGAGAAGCAAGCATCTTTCTCAGGACATTTGTGAAAGGGCATTCAGATACACACGGCAGCTCTGCCTTTGGATATCCTCATGGTAATAACTGTTGTAAAATGGAGATAGTATTGCTCCTATTACGCAAAAGATGTCAGACCAAGAAATTAGATTAAAAGTAGTTCTGTTTTAGGAAAAACTATGATTAAAATGTTTAATAGATATTTTTCATTTCAAAGTTTCATGCACAAACAAAATAGTGGACTCAAGGAAATGCTTCATGACTACCGTACTCTCCTTTCTATTTCTTACACCCCTGCTTCTCCTCTTCCTATTCCCCTGGAAAAACAAAAAAAACAAAAAAACCCTGCCAATAAAACATACATCACATCACGAATTTCCAGCTCTACCAATAAAACCTACTTAAGATTGCTTTTATGTTCCTCAATCCCTTGATCTAAAACAATGGCTTTGATCAGTATTATAAAATACAACACAAAAAGGCAAATGAACCTTGGATTCAGACAGCACAAAGTTCTATTATTGCCAAAGAAGATGGTCATAGAAAGAGACATTTTTATACTTGGTTTAAGCAGTGCTGCAGTAAGCCATTATAATTCTGAGATTTGAGTTGCTTCCAGTGAGCCAGAATTGTCTTTACAATAGCTATATCATCATGGCTGAAATATGCATTTGATTATAATTTTAATATCACCCAGCTTTTCTTGTTGCTTGCATTCAATGCTTTTTGTTAATACTTTTAATTTAAACTACATGCTGGTAGTGGAAAAATTAATACTGTGTTATAGCAAAGACGCTAAAAAGTAAGCTGGACTCAATATTTTACAATGGCTGTAATAAATATATTCATTGAATTTTAAAATGTTTTAGCAGGAACACTCATTTTTTTTCTCAACATTCCTTAAAGATATATATTTCACTTTCTGCATAAATTCACTTGGTCAAGGTCAAGACCCACCTTTAATAAATAAGACCTTTTAAACAAAAAGTAAGCCATGGATTAAGATAAAATTCACAAAGTTAATATGCATTATCTCTCAATAACTGCCTGTATGGTTTGTTTGATTTGAAGTTTTTTGGTTTTTTGGGGTTTTTTTGCTATTAACAGCAAAGTCTGAGAAATAGATACCTCTTTCCCCTCCCCCACCACGCACACAATAGATCGTCTTTTACATGCATTAACCCAATTTCAAGTTACAAATTCGTAGTAGCAGTTACCTTTGAGTGTCCAGTTTTTAAAGATCGATAAAATTTTAAAGTGTACAGTATTTATTTTCTTCTTTCAGGTTGATTATGTGACCGCTCTGGCAAAAGCACTTTGACAACTGTAAGAAGAGAGGGCATGCGCACACAGGGAACTGTGGGGGCTGAAGTCCTTCATGAGGTACTCTGCTCGATTTAAGTAGTTCAGCCAGGAAAGGAGGAAGCCTCGCAAACACAGACTTCAAGGGAAAGACGTTGTGCCCAGATTACGTTACAACTCCTAACCAACCTAAGTCAGGAGTTGTTGAAATGAAAAGGAGGAAAAATAAACTGGTTTGTCAACTTCATTTAGGAAGCCAGGTTACAAGAGAAACTGCACAGACTAAATAGACCCAGCAGAGCTACCTTAAATTGTATTATAATGGTAATGACTGTGCAGCCAGCAATAGGAACCCTACCTGAGAGAAAGAGATTGGGGTGAGGAGGAATGAGCAAAGGAAGGAGAACTACTGGGGAATGATAAACACTTAAAATCTGAACTTACTTAAAAGAAACACTTTTAATATGGAATGAAAAATACCTTAATATTAAATGTGGAGTAACCTTGGAGGCGTGGTATTTTTACACACAAATTTCTGACCCCCTAGCCACCAAGATATCTTTGTATTTGAATTTTCAATGAAAAAGCAAATCACTTATTGTAAGATTCTACCTGTTAACTCATTGTTTTTACTTCCACTATTTATACAATGACTAATCAAATAAAATTCAGTTCTTTCATATTAAAATATTTGGTGAAATATAATAAATAACTTTGATATATTTATTTTATTTTATTATTCATATGTGCATACATAACTTTGATATATTTAGTGTTTAACTGCATTGGACAGTGACTTCTTTGAGACAAAAGGAAGATACAGCTTCTATTTACAAAAAAAATGTTAGTGTCTAATTTTTCCCATTTTAACTTCTTGATTCCAAGGCTGGAATTTCACAACGTATTAACATCAACTGTTTTTATGTACATCTTCTGAGAGTAAGAGCCAGTTTGCTCATGTAGGCAGAAGATAATATTTCTTGTGGGATCTGGTTCAGTGCCATTCACCCAAGGGGTTCAGAGTAAATGTCAGTTGATGACTAGGCTGATTGAACTTGGAACTGAAAATGTTAAGCATCATTTAAAACTGTCTTAATTTCCTATTTCCCTTCTTCACCAAGTAGAATTAAAGTATTAACAGGGAACACTAATTTGCCCCATGTAGTAGTCTTTATGTCTAGAAATTCCTAAAAGGCAGGAGGGGCATTATTTAAGAAGAAAAGAGGCCAGGTGTGCTGGTACGTGCCTGTAATACCAACAATCAGGAGGCTGAAGCAGGAGGATAATGAGTTCGAGACCAGCCTGGACTACACAGTGAGACCCTGCCTCAAAAAAAAAAAAAAGAAAGAATCAGGGCTGGGTATGTAGCACCATGGTAAAGTACTTCTCTAATGTGTACAAGGCCCTGGATTCGATTCCCACCATCCCCTCCCCCACAAAGAGGAAGAAAAGAATTTTTCATTAACTTGCCAAAAACTCTGTAAAATAACTAAATGCTTACTTATTCCTGCTGTACTTTTAGCTTATACTCCCAATTTTCTCTCCTTTTTTTTAAAACCCTCCTAAAGAAAATCTGACTTCTGCCCAGGAGCTGTGTTTAACCTTTGCATTCTGCAAGGATCAATTTATGCTAACCTTATTCCCAAACACTTTGCTAACTTACCAAACTTGTACTACATTTTCAAGTACTCTAAGGAAAAAGAGAAATTCCCTCTTTAAATCCTTAGAACTTTAAGAAATGATGTTTTAATCACTTGAAATTAGTATGCTAAGATTGTATCAGTAAAGTAGAAAAAATTTTAAGTAATTTAGGTGTGCTTGAAATGGTTCCCTTGAACATTTATTAATTCACCTGACCCTAAGTGCAGATCTACTAATAATTCTCATAATGGAGAAAAGATAAACTCTGGTCCTGATCCTTGATAAATGATAATTAGCAATGCCCACACTTAATGGAATTTTATTGTATTTGAAAATGAACTAAGCCCTATTCTTCCTTTCCTAAAATGAACACTCAAATTTAAAAAGAAAATAACTCAAACAGAAATTTGAAGGTACAAATACATTCCAAGCAAACAACAAATTATAGGAGGACCCTCAACATGGACAAAGTTCTTCTCTTCTGAAACACTGTTTTGTATTTAACCAGAAAGAAGACACTTTTCAGGTCACAGAGCTTTACTATAAACCCCTTTTGAGTGGTCACTAAAGGCTGTAAAAATAGACTTTGCAGAATTAACTCACTGAAATATTCATGGGTCAAATACATCTTTCCTGGGCTTCCGTCCTTTTTCTCTCCTTACTTGCTTATAAGCACCTTGCATGGTACTTATAAGTCTGGGTAGTTTGTGGTTGTTCCATATGTATGCTTTTGGTTTTTTTGTTTTTTTGAGACAGGGAGTTGCTCTGTAGCCCAGGCTGGCCTCAAACACAATCCACTGATCTAAGCCTTCCAATTTCTGGGATTACAAGCATGTACCAACATTCCTGGCTTAACATATACTTCTTGAATACATGGATAGATAAATGAATGGATTGATAGATGGTAGTTTTTTTATTATCTAAAAAAGCCATGGTTTGAGTATTAAATTATACTTCATTTAGGACAATTAGTCTTCCATCAGCTACAAAAATGGATATAGAAGGGAATGGTATAAAAAATAAAAACATTTTAGCCTTTATGATGTTCAGTAGGATGAAGATTATTTGATTTATCCTCATGAAATAACAATCATTAAACAATAATTGAACAGGGAACTTTGTTCCCAGCTAAGAGTTTGCTATCTAATAAAGGTATTCACCCTACCCCTCTATAGAATCTGCTTCTCCAAGGTTGCAACAGCCACTTTGAGCTAAGGCCAAGGGATGTTTTGTTGGTCTATCTTCCTTGATCTTGGAGCAACATTATATAGCTGACCACATTTTCTGATCATATCCCTTTGCCTCCTTTCTTGGTTTTCTC